GTCTTCACTCAGCCAAGAAATTCCAAACCCAATTCATAGTTCAGGCCTAGTTTGTACTTAACAATAAGATATCTATCATTCATGCCACACTGGGGAATAATCATGAGGACTTTTTCCTTATCCCGACGAAGGCCGAATAATTGCGTTAAAAGAGCAGAAAAATATTTGGTAATCAGATATAAACACATAATGTTCAGTTGGTCTCAAACTTCACGATGCAGGGCTAATTCACAAATCTTTTACAGCATGTACTTATCAACAGACAATAATTTGACTCTACATTTTACAATTATTCCAGATATTATGAGTAAAAAATAAAAAGACAAATCCATGAACCTGTATGAAGGCTAGTATGAACGAGTTAAGTTGCTGCCTGACTCCTGCAGGCTGACCAGCAGGTCATCAATCTTCTCCATGTTCTGAGAGGCAGACATGCTGTTCTGCACAGAGCCAGACTGAGACAGGGACTGGCTGAGCAGGGACTGGATGTGTGCGTCACTCTCTCTTTGGTTCTGACCAGACTGGCTGATGGCTATAATCTGATCCGACAGCGTGTTTCCAGGAGTGTTCATCAGCTGGCCGCATTCTGCAAGTAGGGAGCAAAAAATCCAGCATTATCAATAATGGAATGATAGAGGAGGTGTTTTTTTTTAAAGCTGGGTTCATATTGTGTACATGAGTTTGTAATGTAAGTTTAATATGCCACGTTTCTTGTTCATGTTCAAAATATTAGTGCATTTACTTGAGTGGTGAAATGAAATGGAAGGACAATTAGCAGCACTTAAGACCAGGTGACATTGTGTGCTGTGGGTGCTGTGAGTGCACTTAGTTAATAAGCATCACCTTTCTGTGGTGCAAGGGCCGTTATGGAAAAACGGTCAAATTGCAGAGGGAGTTAACAGAAGCTCTTAATCTTGTAGATGGCTCACTTCATTTCTATCACTTGAATTCATTGGCAGTTGGTCATCCCTCTACAGGTTTAAGGGGGTACACCTGTGTAATCATGCCCTTACCATTCTGAATCCCAAAAAGGAAAAGGCTAGGTTGTTGAGGCTGGCTGGACTGATTGATGCTCCCACTGACAGCAGTCTGAAACAGAGTCCCTGGCTGCTGAACAGGGGAGGAGGTGGTCGTCTGGAGGTTTGCCACGCCGTTCTGTGAGGCAAACATGGCTGACTGTGCGAGCTCCTGAGCAGCCAGTCCCCCCTGCAGGGAAGCCATGTTAGACTGGGGCATAAAGAGGCTCACAGGCTGCTCCTGCCGGTTGTTTGAGCTGCTGCCCAGCTGCATTGGCTGCTGCTCCTGAAACATGACTTGCTGTCGCGGATCAGTGGGGTTCCCTAAGGCCATGGGCTCAGAGCGGTCCTGCTGGTTTACTGTCACCATGCTGGCTTGGGAAAAGAGCAGAGAGCGGTTTTGGGGTTCTTGGGAAACTAGACTGTTGCTGGTCAGCGGTGGCATCTGGCCCTGGCTGCTGAACAGGAGGCTGGAGGCCTGGTCCGGAGTGGACAGTGGGTTGTTGCAGAACAGCAGGCCAGCTTGCTGTTGCTGCTGCTGGCCTGGAGAGAGTGGGTTTGCTGATGGATGTGGGGAGATGTTCTGAAACAGGGAAGCCTGCTGGGCTGGCTGCGTGTGGGGTTGAGCCTGCGAGGGCTGCTGCTGCTCCATGGGGGTTCTCTGCTGGATGGGGGAGAGCTGGGTCTGAGCTTGAAATACTGATTGTGGTTCAGGGGCAGGAGTTTGTAGAGCACTGAGGAAGGCCAGCTGCTGCTGCTGCTGTTGTTGC